ACCCTTGCTGGTGAGGCACGGTGTGTGACTTTGTCGGATTGCACGTGATTTCGACACGTCACTGTGGCCCCGTCACTGTTCGCTTCTGAGTTTGACTGTTTTTGGTGTTCCAGTAAGCGTACCCCCCAACCATGTCAGGCATATTGCACTGGTTCAGGGAGTCCACGTCATGTAGGTCACGCGCAGGAAGCGTTCGAGTTGCTTGGCCTTAGGCTGGAGGGTTGAGAAGAGTGTCGTATGAGGCGGCCAGGGCACACGGACTGGCAGGACACGTGCTCCACTATTTGTGGTGATGGCCAGAGTCAGCAAGCACAAGACAGCATGAACTAGCGTTAAGTCGTTCAGATAAGCTATTCCTTGGTGTGTGAAAAGGGCAATAAACAGTCTACAAAAAGTTTATCCAGATGTCCACCCTTGGAGAGACAAGGGCCTATGACCAGGTCAGTAAACAAGTCTCCAAACTAGTCTCTCTCTAGTCAGGCCCAAAAAAGCACGATGGTTCGGATAGACTTTGCGGAGACTTTTGGGAGACTTTTGGAAGATTTTTGGAGACATTTGGAAATTTGTTGGAAACCTGATTGGGGACTTTTTGGAGACTTGCTGAAGACTTTTTAGAGACTTTTTGGAGATTTTCGAGACACTTTTTTCAGACTTTTTACAAGGAAAAGTCTCTCCTGCAGCTCTTCCCCCGCCCGCTCCCCCCTATAACCCTGGAGACTTTTTTTTTTGAATTTTTTTAGAGTCGGTTTGGGAGTTGTTTCAGGACTCGTAGCAGACTTTGTTTTGATTTGTGCCAGAGTCGGTTTGGAGCTGTTCCAGGGCTCTTAGCTTCAATCCGGGTGACTCAACGGTGGACTTGGAAGGGACTTTAAATTGACTTTTTATTATTTAGCTGATTTCCAGAACAAGCTGTTTAGCGAACGACATAAAACTAGCGCCGGAAATGACCAGGAAGGATGCAATGCAAGCCAGAACAGAGGAGAAGCCCAAGCCTCCAGCAACAAGGAAAAGCACCGAAGCACACAAAGTACCTGCCGGCAGTTGGCCAGTATTGACGTCCTTGGCAGGAAGGGAGCTGCATCAGAAATCGACGTGCGCTCGACACATGACTTTACAGCCCCAGATCGACACACCTCTCGACACATATGACTTTACAGCCCCCAATATGTCTCAACCTCTTCCTTTACAGCCTTTCGACTCACTGTGCTAGTCTCATGCAATGCTGCATTTCCGGACGCCTGACAGCAAAGCTGGAAATCGCAATACCTCGGATGCAACCTTGTCGAGACCGCCTGGCGGCGAATCAGCGGCCGCTCCCCAAAATTGTTCGCAGATGCTCTAAGTCGACGCGGGACGTGATCATCGACATTTCTCACCCCAAATAGCCTGGGTGTGGACGACGCCTTCACGCTGAGCTCCGACTAATTGAGAGCAGTGTACCATGTGGGTTGGGCGTAGTTTGCGAAGTTCAGACCCGGGGTTGGTGGGGAAGGGCTCATCTTTTTTTACCAGCGCCGTGAATTGAGGTTTGGTTGCTGCTCTGCTTCCTAGGGTTCGAAAAACAGACTTGTTTTCTGAATTACTGAGCAGCTGAGAGACTATTTATTACCCTGCTGAATTATTGGGAGATGGCGTGGCGGTGGCATGGTGGGTGGCGTAGTGGTGGGTGGTGGTGGGTGGCGGCGGGTGGTGGGTGTAGGAAGGAAAGGCTGCACTTGTATCTTCCATGGCAGGAACTCGGGAGCAGGATTGAGTGCAGTGAGGTTGTGTGGCTAGTGTTGTGAGAGTGTGACGGGTGTGTGGCTGGGTGTGTGGAGGGGGTGTGAGTGCGCCCAGTGGATGGAGGTGTGGCGATGAAGGTGTGATGGAGGTGTTGGAGGCGTGGAGATCTCTGCTCTCCAATGCGGCTCCAGCACTCCAACTAGCCAATCCAGCCCGCCAGCATCCGCCAGCCCAGCGCTCCGACCCTCCAGGGCGCGCTGCCGCCCTGAGAAACAGCAGCTTGCCATGCTCCAAGAATGGGGAAACGACACGGTTTTTCACTAGCGCCCGCCTCAGGGGTCGGCGGATAACAGTGGTAATGCATGTCGCACCCTCCCCAAAAAAGCAGAATCCCCAGAATGCCACAGTTCAGCCGCGCCGTTTCTTCTCTACCAAAGACTGGAGCACAGGCGACTTGGCAAGGTGTAGACTTTGTCAGGGTGCCTCGCTTCTTGAAGACTTGAGATGGGTTGGGATGGGTTGGGGGATGCATCTGTGACTTCAGGACTTCTTGCTGTGAAGATGAATGTGAGATATTGTGAGATCTTGTAATATATTGTGAGCTGTTGTGAATTCGTCTGTGCTGAGCCTGAAACTGAAAGTTCTTGACGTCGCACAGAGGCACTCACCGACCTCGTTCCGGTGAAGGCAGCGAAAGAGAGAGCAGCATTCTCTGGGAGTTGCTAGCCATTCCTAAGGATTCTCCAACCTTTCCCCATTCCTGAAGTTTGATGAAGCGGTGACGCCTTTCCACTTTTTACAGGTCGTCATGGTCAAGCTCCCTGGCCTCATCTGTCCGCAAGTCCTCTATGTGCCCTGGCCACGAAGAACATTGAGGGCAAACCTTTCAAGCCTCTACGCAGTCAAGCAGTCAAGCAGTCGAGGTCTTGAGCACTGTGAAGCACCCCCGCATCTTTGTGAAGATTGCCGTCCGAGCCGCCCGGCTTTTGAAGCACACACGGATTTTGTAGCACCTGCCTATGCCACGTGCCAAGGCCATCGTGGAGTTCGTGTGGACGAACATTGCTGCTGGCTCAGTGCGCAAAAATGTCCGAGACAGGAATTGCAAGTACTGCTGTCACAACTGCAGCCACTGCAACTTCGGCCGCCGCTGGAACACGAAGCTTTCACTAGTCAATCCGCTCTCCTCTACTATGTCGCAAACCTTCGCATGAATTCATGGACCTGAATGCGGCCCTGCTCAAAGATGTGTACGCTACGCTCCCCAGCAGCCTGGACCATTTCCGGTCGCATCCAGTCGCCAAGGTTCGCTACCAGTACTACTGGAAGACAACGCAGCGCGCAGCGGTTCTCGCATTGCGACTTGATGTATGAGGTTCGGAGCGGAGAGAGACACTTGTGTGGACTTGTGGGGAGCCGTCTAGCTGTGTTGTGCTCAGCTACTCAGCTAGCACTGTTGCAAGCTGGCAAGTGTTTAGAAACCGAAGCCCATGCAGAGAGTTGAAGATGCCCGTGTGCAAACGAGTGACCATCATGTGGTGTTCCACTGAGGCTTTTCTGCTTTGTGTGTCAGTGGGTTCCTGATGATCCCGTGTCTTGGTTACGATCAGCAGCAGTTCTGACCTTCAGCATCGGATTACTTGCTTACTTGCTGTCTCAGTGCTTAGATGACTTAGATGCGCTTGCTCTGATTTGCGGTTGCCAAAGGTTTCCCTGGTGCGCAGAGGCTGGCGTCCCGAGATGCATATCATAAATGGTTTCTGGAGTCACACGTGGTTGCTCTTACAGGGCCTTGACTTTGCCACCCTTATAGTGATCTTAGGGTCGAGGGGTTCGAGAAAAATGTGCCGGGCCCAATCAATCCGTGCAAGCGTTCAAGATGGTTCAAGTCTCAAGTTTTTGGACTACACAGGCCAGAGGCTTTGCCCAGTAGAAAGCTGGTATACAATCCTCTCAACTTTTTGGGATGAACCAGGCCAGCTGAAACCCAAGAAAGCTACTGACATGGCAGGATGCTGGAGCCTGGTGGCTGCGCAAGCGTACCACGAGCTTTGTTACGAGGCTGGTGGACCGGTGGGCAGGTGGACGTTGTATGGCACTGTCACTCCCAACCAATGCAATGCAACTCTGTGCACTCACCGCATCTCACCGCCTTGAATCTGCAAGGTCTTCGAGGCTGTAGGGTACGTCATTGAGCTGATGCTCGTCGGATGTGCGGGGGTTGTGGGGTTTGTTCTGTTCAGGGTGCTTTGCGTCTTTTGTGTTTTCTCGTTGGTCGAGTGGGAGCGAACCGGAGCGGCCCAAGATGCATGTGCTAGAGTGCTTGTTTGGTTTTGTTTGCTTTTTTGTTGTTTGCTCTCCTTTTCTGGTTCCAGCTTGCTGGTTCCCATACGTTCGCACATGCTTTCTCTTTCATCTCAGGAAGCGTCCGCAAGAGTACTTTTGGAAGCTTCTTCGCTGCACAAAGGGGGCAGGTGCGCTGTTGTCAGCTTCGGGCGGGAAGTTCTTGATTTGTTAATGGATGGCTAGCTCGAGAGCTCCTCCACTGCCCTCCCCAAGGTCTGCCGTCACTGTAGAGGCTGTAGTCAGTGCAATGTCTCTGCGCGTGGCATGTCTCAAGACCGAATGCGTGGAACCCCAATACCAGTCGCGATGACTTGTCGCAAACAAGACAGTGAAGCTCTCGCCACAAGGGCAAAGAACTTCTGGGACTACATCTCCATTGTCGGCATCTCAGAGCGGGCTTGGGGTGGCCTAACCTTGGAACTTGCGAGTCGATGAAGATACCTTGCGTCGGTGCCAAGGGCCTGGGCTTGGCATTGATGCACTTGCGACTTGGACAGACTCGGACAGCCTCCAGCAGTTCCAAAGAGGTCTGCAGTCATTCGCCTTAGAGCTGTGTGCTAATTGTGCAAGACATCCCACATCAAGTTTGGGGCGGTTTTTGCGTCCCGAATGCCAAATTCCCCTTGACCCCCCAGAGCAAAGCCCAGCCAAGGAGTCAGGAGGATCTGCTCATTGAGAGCTGGTCGACTTTGCTGGCCATCACAGTAGCTGAGCTTGTGGTGGAAGTGCCTTTTTGTGCTGTCGTCGCTGCACGCTTACGACTTAATCGTACTCTTGCTGTTACCGTTGCTTTGAGCCTTTCCGAGTGGTGTTCGGCACAGAGATCTTCATTGAACATCACCTGCACTATCCTGTGAGAGACAACCCTACTGAACTGAAGGCCTGGTGATTCTGTTGCAGGGCTTGCGTTCTGCTGTGCGTTCCATCAGGTCATGGGCCGGTGGGTGATGTTGACCTGGACGTTTCGTGCATTTGTTTGGGCCCCCTGCCTGCAACGAGATTCCGGGCGCCATGAGGTCCGCTGAAGTCCGTTGAAGTCCGCGCTTGAGTCTAGCAGCCACGAGGCCGGTGAGAAGATCTTGCCAGTCTTGCAGGCTGGGCGCCAAGCTCGGGAGATGCATGCCCGGCTTTTGCTGATTCATTGCTGCCAGGAGTGTGTGACTAGCGGAAGTTTGTAGTTGTAGTTCTAGTAGTTGTGGGTATTTTGGTAAGAAGCAGAACTGGAGAACTGCTCAGCCATGTACTGCAACATCTTGCAGTCCTTTCTCGCAGGGTGTTTGAAGCATTAATAGACAGCAGCAACACTCGACTTTCGAGATTTCGAGACCTCTTGAGAAGCATCAACCAAAGTCTGGTTGTGTGCTTTCGAGCCGAGAACTCCTTTCTATACTCAACCGACAGCTTTTAGAGGAAGGCCGGAAAGACCTTAAGCCCCGAAAATGCGCACCCAATGCCCTCTGACAGGCCTCCTTCGTTCCGATGGGAGGCAGAGGGTCTCAGAGGGCAGTTTCACAATGTTGCACAAAATACCGTTGGTCTCCATTGGTGGCTCCATCGGTGGCTCCATATTCCAATTTAGCCAATATCGGGCCCGTGGTCCATATGATGCACACCTGAGAAAAGCCCCAGGTATTCTGTTGGTAACGCTGTTCATCTTCGCCGGCTTTTGGCACTCCTTTGCAGCACCCGCGCTTAGAGGATGTTAAAGGATGTTAAAGGATGTTAAAGGATGTTGCAGGTGCTTCAAGCCTGTGCACGCTGTGCAAGTAGAGGTTTGTGTTGTGTTTACACAGACCATGTGTGGTCATTCGTGGTCATTTGTCATCACATGTTTGCAGAGTCTTACGCTTGAAATCTGTAGACGTGGAGCCGTGGAGTGGCTTGAGGCAGATGAGGCAGTATTTGCGTGAATAAGGAGTTGTGCTTGCCGCTGCCACATTTCGCTTTGACATGTTTTTAGGAGACTTTTGTGTATACACGTCGCTCGGAGACGCATCGGAGACTCATCGATCTCAGGCGTTGACCCTGGCCCAGGGCGTTCTGGACCAGTACCAGGCTGGGAAGTCGAACGCGCATAGGCCTCTAGAATGGAAAACAGGGCAGAGTTCGGAAATCTCACAGCTCATCACATGCTCATCACCACACATCAAGGTTCTCCTCGCCACGCTTCGACTTCTGATCCTCGGTGATGGCGACGGCGCGGCAGATCCTCGGCCCTGTGGCTTTGTGTGATCTTTGTATTCCACGAACCGTTTTTGCCAGGCAAATAAAGACCCAGTTAAATTGTCTTCAAGGCTCTGCAAAGCTTTGTACGGACACAGACACTAGACCACTAGGCCAGCATTTGTCAAGCTGCCCCCCCTTTTATTGGATCGCGCCGGTCTGAGGAGGGGAGGAGGGGGGTCAAGTAAAGGTTTAAAGGCAGGTTTTCGGGCCAGCCGGATGATCGATACATACTGATGCTCACTTGGCCACACCATTTTTCGGCCTGGTTGGCACTGTGGATTCAGGTGGTGCTGGGGCTTTACAATGGTGACGAGGAGCGCTTGTGTTTCTTGCCAGTGCACAAGCAGTGCACAAAGTCTTGGACTCATGATGGAACCATCCGAACTCCACTGCGTGTATCTTGTGTGGGAGGAGCTCGGCTCGCACATCACCTTCATTCTCTGGTTCATTGCCGCCGCCTGGCTGATGGCCTCAGAGGCATGAGCTTGCTAGGTGCAAGTGGTGGGATTGATGGGACCACTTCAGATGGATCTTCTGGATCGTGCTTGGCCCAGACGGTTAGGAGATCGATTTCAGACGGAAGTTGCCCAAAGCCGACCAAAGAGTTGTTTTTTGTTTTTAAATCTATTGCCTCGAGCGCTTGGAACCTGGAGCATCTAGAGCGTCTAGGAGTCTAGAAGTCTAGGCCAAAGCCTTAACCTTGCGGCTGAGGTCATTGCCTTCTGCATCTGTCTGCTGAACCTTTTCATCGCAGTGCACGGTGCCCCCTGGCCGGCTCAAGAAATGACCTCCTGCAGAAAACTATCTTGTGTGTGCCTCGTTCCGCCTCGTCACACCCAAGCCCCGCGGTCGAATTCTCAAGCTCAAGGAGGCATATGGCAAAGCGCAGGAGACGGCGCACATCTCCTTCCTGCAGGCGACGGCAGGGTAAGGGCCTGGTCATCTTTGAAGTCCTGCTCTCGCCAGCAAGGCTTGGAATTCTCTACTGCTCTCTTGACCGTCTCGATTCTGAACAAGACGTTTCTTTCAGTTCTGACGACCTGAGATCCCGAAGAGGAAAGAGCGGCCATCTGCTTGCACTGTCTGCTGATGCCTTGCTGGCTCCCGACAGGCACGAGCCCTCACTCGGATCTGTGGCATGAAGATGCGTTGAAGATGCTTGAGCATGACCAAGGGGCTGACATATGTTGAGATTATTTGAGATTCTATCTGAATGCTCCGAAGGCTGCAGCCTGACCCTGTGAAGGTTGGCAGTCGCAGGCTTCGTGCCCGAAGGCCTTGGCCGTACTCATCTACGCGGCTCGGCTTGGCTTCCAGGGACCTCGAAGTGATCTCGAAGTCATCTTGAAGTGAACTCGTTGAATTGAGATCTCAACTCTCAATTGTTCTAGGTTCTTGTCTCAATGTGTCCTGTATCTGTAGCTCTTTCTTTGACCACTGTGCCCAGGCCCTGACCTTCGTTGCGCGGCTTAGTCGCATTTGCCCAGCATTGGCATGTAGACTCGTGAGGGCGGATGTTTGTCTGTTTTAGTCTTCGTTCCCTGTTTCAAAAGCTCACCTGTGGCACTGAATTCACAAAGAACGCTCTGCGAAGGTGGGGTGTCCTGGTCTGGTACACACAGTTGCATCCCTGGGTGGCTGCTGGCGTGCTCCTGGCAGGCCGGGCTTCAGAGGAACTGGGATGTCTCCTCCCCCCTTCTACCCCTTCTACCCCTTCTACCCCTTCTACCCCTTCTACCCCTTCTACCCCTTCTACCCCTTCTACCTTTCTGCCCCTAGTTTCATCAAGACCTAGAGCAGAAACCTGGAACCGTCCAATTAAGGCAAGCCAGCGCATATCAAAACGGGCGGAAGGGCTTGGAACCGGCAAGATCTTTGATCGCTCTACAGACTACACAAAATCCCCTCGACGACGCTTTCGCTCTACAGACTACACAGAGTGGACTCCATACAGTTCCAGGAACGACCACGACAATGTATTGGCTCAGCGCGGGTTGCTCCGTGCGAAGCCATGAAAGATGCTGCAAAATGTCCGCATTGTCGGAGGGGCCATTGGGGAGGCGAAGTGTCAGTTCCAACACGAGAATTGCCTTCGTGCGCTGTACGGAGTACTTGCCGACGTGGCCCAGCATTCCTTTCCAACGCAGACCAGGTCCGCGCACTTGTGGGAGGTGAAGATGTTATGTGAGAATCAGCATCGCGCAACCATGCCGGCTGGGCCTTCTCGCTGAGAATGGCCAAAGCCTGCTGAACACCAAGCTTCACGCAACGTATAGTTTCATCACAATCGCCATGCCGCATGCCGCAGGAAACATTCAGGTCACGTAGCGGCTGAAAGAACTGGCTGCCTCGCGACGGAAACGAACCGCCTCGCAGTCGAGATTTTTCGACATAGTGCTTGGTGGTTGGGGTCGACAGACGAAGAGGCAGCTTGGTTGCAGACATCGTTCTTCTGCAGCTGCCGTGGCGAAAGGAGGCAGGCTTCGTTCTTCTTCTGCACCGGTCTTGCAGTATAGGTTCGGACTGTCGGAGCTGTCTCAGCTTTTCAACCTACCCGATCTCCTCTGTCGCCTGTTGGCCTATTTCGCAGGATTCTGAGAAGCTTTTCTTTTGGATCTGCCATCGCGATGACACTCCGCTGCAATGCTTCCGCATCATATATATATATATACATATGTATGTACGTATGTATGTATGTATGTATGTATGTATGTATGCATGTATGTGTTTTACGTGCATATGATGTGTATACGTGTATATGTATAACAATATGGTATCCCCCGAGTTATGCACCTGTTTGGTTGGTTTTAGAGCCTATCGGGAAGGGGGGAGGTGGGGGAATAGGCTACTTCAGGCTTTGGTCGTGTCATTTTCTAATATTTTAATTTTCACGCTACGCGACCCGCCTCGGCCGGGCCCAGCGCATCCGCGTGAGCATGGTGATTCCGCAGCGCCCAAGTCGCTGGATCCCAAGCAATAAGTGTTGGGTTTAGGGTTTAGGGTTTAGGGTTGAAGGTTAGTTTAGGGTTGAGGGCTTAGGGCTCAAGATTCACGGTTTGGGGTTTAGGGCTTTTGGGTTAGAGTTCAAGGTTCAAGGTTCAGGGTTTACACGGTTCGGCTTGGACAGGATTCGTAAAGTTGAGCCGCGGGCCGGGGGGGAGGCGGGGAGGGGGGCGGGCAGGGGGGGAGGCAGGAGGGCTGGCGGGGGCAGGTGCGGGGTTTCGGGGAGGGAGGGGAATTGGGGGCCTGCTGGGCGGGGGCCGTGGCTTTGGGTTTGGGGGAGGATTTGAAGGGGGGTGCCTGTTCTCACAACCTATACACCTTCGGCCCGAGGCCTCGGCGGAGATGATGATATTGTGTAGTTATTGTATGAATATGTTTCGAGGCCTCAATGGTAAAGCACACGGAGTCTTGAACTTCAATCCAGAGTTTTGAACTTAAAACTCTGGATTGAAAACTCAAACTCACGGAACCCTATAGGGTTAAGGTTTGAAGGTTTAGGGCTTCAGGTTGAAGCATTTCAACCTAACCCGGCAATTAAACCTAAACCCTTAACCTTTAAACCCTATAGGGTTAAGGTTTACAGGTTTAGGGTTTACGATTTAGGCATTCGAACTAAAGCCGGCAATTCAACCTAAACTCTCAACCTTTAAGCCCTATAGGGTTAAGGTTTCAAGGCTTTGGGTTCAAGATTTAGGCATTTAAAGCTAAGGCCATAGAGTCTATACCTCAAGGATTTAAGGTGTAGGCACTAAAACATGAACTCCAAAACCGTTCAAAGGTGTTAACCCTTCGGCGCAGAAGGTATAAACGCCGAGACTTTAGGTACCTCAGGTTTAGGCATTAAACCTTTAAACCCTAGAAAGTTTTTTAAAGCTTTAAGGTCAGGGGATTTAAACCTAGGTTTGGGCATTCCAACTGGTTTTAGCCTTAAACCCTACAGGGCCCCTATAGGGTTAGCTATGTAAACCGAATAGGTTACCTTTAAACGCTATAGGTTTTAGGTTCAAAACCTTTAAGCCTCTGGGGTTTAAAGGTTTCGGGTTTTTTCAAGGGTTTATCTACCTTCTTCGGGGTAGTGCTGTAGGGTTTTTACCACCACAGGGGTTAAAGGTTCAGGGTTTAAGGTTTAGGGCATTGCAAAAAGTAACCCTACAGGGATTTAGCCCCTCTACTGTTTTCCTTAAGCCTTAAAGCATATAGGGTTTAGGGTCATGGCGCTGAGGGTATAAATGCAGAGACCTTAGTTACATCAGGTTTAGGCATTAAAACCTTTAAGCCCAAGGTTTTTAAAGGTTAAGGTCTGCGTATTTAAGCTTAGGTTTGGGCATTCAAACTGGTTTAAGCCTTAACCCCTGTAGGGCCCCTATAGGGTTAGGGTGTTTCAGGGCGTATCTACCCTATCGGGGCTAGCCCTGTAGGGTTTAAACCCTGTACGGGCTTCAAGGTTTAGAGTTTAAGGTTTAGGGCATTGCAAAAAAGCAACCCTAAACCCTCAGGAATTTAACCACTTTTACTGTTTTTCTCAAGCCTTAAAGCATATAGGGTTTGGGGTGAACCTTATCTACATTATAAGCCTTGAGGCTTAAATCCTAGACCTTAGATCCCGTAGAGTTCTGCCTATGTTTGTAGGCCTTGCCTCCTGTGAAAATGCAAAGGAAAAGTAGAATAAGTACCCACTTCATAGGGTATGTGTACTGCATATCAAATACAGATAATGGAGAAGCCTCGAACCATACGACTAGGGAAGCATTCGAGCGCAGAAGGTGATGCGGAAAAATCATGTACGGTAAGCCCCGCGGACGCGAGAATACTGTGAGCAAATACCTTTCACTATTTCCTAGGACCTGTTGACAGGCTGTAATTGTAAACGCTTGCGCGCGCCGCCTCGGCAGCCGGGCCGGCCCCAGGACAGGAAAGGAGGAAAGAGGGTTTCGTTAAAGGGGGGGTGGGGGGGAGGTGGGGGGGGTCGGGGGGGGGGTCGGGGGGGGTGGGGGGGGTGGGTTAGGGGGGGGGGGTAGGGGGGGGGGGTGGGGGGGGGTGGGGGGGGGGTGGGGGGGGGGGTGGGGGGGGTGGGGGGGGGTGGGGGGGGTGGGGGGGGGGGGGGGGGTGGGGGGGGGTGGGGGGGGGTGGGGGGGGGGGCGGTTTTGAGGAATTTCCCTGTAGGAGCACCGAGAGGCAGGACCCTCCACGGCGTCGGTTTGCAGCTCCTCCAAGCGATTGGGGGGGGTCCCACAGGGCGGGGGGGGGGGGGGGGGGGGTGGCGTCAGAAAATCCGCGATGGGGGGAAGGGTTGGGTTAGGGGGAAGGAGGCCCGATCCGGGTCTGCTTGTTCCAGACGCTTCTCGGCAGGAAGCCGAGGCGAATTTACAATGCTCATGTGAAAAAAGTATCCGAAAACCAAAGGGTCGGTGCAAGCTCCACTCTCGAAAAACCGAACAACGGTGGATAACTGAGGGGGGGGGGAGGGGGTAGAAAAAAGAAATACATACATACATACATATATATGTATATATACACATACATACCACCATCATGACTAATGGCCGCTCAAGGGTGGCATGGTGCCTTGGCGAAGTATTACTTAGCTGACGCCCTTGTTTTGAGCTCCAAACTCTCGAGCTACTCTCAATGACTTCGTATTTCTCCAAATGATCATACATCGATCGGCATCTACGCTGGTGCATGCAGTAGGGCAGGGCACATGCGACGGCAGCAATGTTGGTTTGATGCTGTTTGGACGGCGTCTACGTGTCATGGTGTTTGGCATTTACATGCAGATGCATGCCGTTATAGAACCCTGGCTTCCATCAACTAGGATGATGTCCATCACAGCTTTACGCAGGATGGCGGGCTGCGGTAGTCTGCAAAAGCTTTAAAATTCAGGTGCCATTTGGCTCTCGAGGGCTGCCAAGAATATCTACATATGGTGCTATTTCGCTGGATGGGCTTCCGGCATCTGCATTGGGACCTGGCTCTTGAGGGTTCAAACCGATCCGAAACATGCCAAAGTCCCCGGCGTCCGCTATCCACGAGACAGGTCCAGTCGCGCTCATGCTTTGTTTTGTAGCACACGAAGTGTGTGTAGACACAAGCAGAGCGTCGATCGCCGCAGCTATCGACGCCTCGAGCCGCTCGACGCCCTTTTTCTCTGAGCGGCCTTTCTGAGCCGGCGCTGTGCGGGGCGAGGGTGCGCCGAGCAGGTGCAGAATGCGCCCCCCTGCGCCGGCCCAGTTTTCGGCGGACTGCGCAAACCCTACGAATATGCGCACGCAAAAGGTCTGCCATTCAGCTCTCGTCGTTGCGGCGCTTGTGGTTATAAGCAGCTTGCGTGTCGCAGTGATGGGTTGCTATCGCGGTAGGTGGTAGCGATGGGAGCTTTCGTGCTTGCCTGATGCCACATTGAAGCAGGCCTCAGTTGCCGCGTTGTGATGGCCAAAACGCGGGCTGAGGCCTGTTGAGCTCTGTGTCGCTCGGCGTTACGATCCGCCATCCAGCCGGTTGGGCAGACACATCTCAAGAAGATTGCGCTCGGAGATCGTCGCTATATCAGGGAGTCGTTCCCGAGTGGCGGCATCGGAACAGGCCGAAATTCTTCGTCTTCGGAGTCATCGGCACGCTTTCGAGTTTTCTGGTGCAAGGCCCAGACGAGAAAGCGACGTGAGCATGACGACCAATGAGCTTCAAAAATGATCTGCATTCATGTCACGGGAATGGTAGGGGAGCGGTTGTTGCACATGTTGAAGCCTCGCATGTACTTGGGATAGCTTTGTCGTGATGCGCAACATTTCTGCGGTAATATGTGTTCTTGTGGCCTGATGCGTGAAATCCGTCTCAGATGCTGAGGACTACGATGACACCGCCTCACTTCCAGCGGACAGTGCCTTGGTTGGTGAGCGCATTTCTTTGGAGCACCGCGCGCTGCCACGACATGGGAACACAAAGGCTGGTTCAGTTTGAAAGTGTAAGAAACAGCTCGGGTGAACTGTACGACGTACACTGTACCATATTGACTGAGATCCGGTCCTAACTTTGGTTTTGTATTTGCTTGGGTTGTTGAGCCAGAGGTAGTGTGATGCAATGCGTGGCTAGGGTTTAGGAAGATGAGGAAGAGGAAACAGTATTCCCCGACTCACATCATGCACCCACATGCGTCGCTCAGCCTTCGATGATGCCCCTGGTGCTTCAGCGGAGCAGCAAGAGGCTGTTGTCCGTACGTCGAGGCGCTCCGGGAGCCAAACCTCTTTCCCGGATGCCGAGTTTCATTTTGGGTGTTTCATGCTGTTTCAAACCCGTGCAAGCCTGTGTGCAAGCCTGGAGCAGGCTTTCCACGAAACTTGGGAATCTCAAGAGCTCTGTGGAAATGCAGCGGTTTGGCCATTTGGACAGCACGCAGGAAACTGTCGTGCTTCCGGCATCGGAGTTGACGTCCACGGAAACACCCATGCATTGACCCAGGCACTGACCTGAGCGGCCTCGAAGGCAGGTCCACACCGTTGGAGCATCACGCAAAAGAGCTTGGGAAGACCAGCTGCTTTTAGGCCGGCTCAGCCACCTCGAGAAGTGCGTGGAGCGGGCCATGGCAGTGCGGCGCCCAGGAGGTATCAGGAGTCGGATGCCATGACAAAGCACTGTGTGTGTGTGTGTGTTTGCAAGTGTTCGAGTTCGTACCGAACTGTTTTGGTGCTTGCGGCGCTTGCGTCTCTCTGTTTTTTGTAAGGCCTTCGCTGTCCTCGAGTAGCGTCATGCTTAGCTACGAGAGCTGCGGAGAGCGGTGAGCCCGGTGCAGACTGTAGCGCTTTAGGCTTGTAGATTAGGATGCATGCTTTCACGGCCGAGTCCCAAGCCCAAGATCACTTGGGCCTCGGGGTCTTCATGGAGGGGGGCCAAAGATCAGGGGCATGGACCAGGATGACCAGGATAGGTACCAGAAATGGAATGTCCACTGTCACAACCCATGCCTCAGAGCCCCCCGAGAGTCAGTTTTTGTTGCCTCGAGAGCATACTGGGTCGCTTTTGCATCCCAGCTCTAAAGTTTGTGAGGATTGGGAGTGTGATGGTCTCAATATGTCTCAATGAGCATCCCTCGGTGCTAACGAATCGGTGCTGACGAATCAGTGCTGACGAACCAGTGCTGACAGTTAAAGACCCTGCCGGCAGAAAGACCTAGAGAGTCGTCACCTAGAGGCTGCGTCGAGCATGCTGAACGTCAGATTCCGGCCGCTAGATACCATGTCTTGGAACCTGCCAAGTCTGCTAGATCGCTTGTGGTTCCTTTTTGCCAGGCCGCCAGAGCACAGGCGATTTCGCGAGGCATGGAAGCAATGGAACAGATTAACGTGATTGGAAGTCATGGGAAGTCTTAGTAGGTTGCCGCCCCTTGCCCGTTGAGTTTCTCTGCAAGGCGGTATGGCTGTGAAGGCCATGGCCAGCGCGGTCGTGAAAGCCAGGGAAGATGAGGAGGAACGGCTGTAGATTTGAGCTGCTGAACTCCATTGCCCGAGGGTTGTCGCAGATGTCGCACAATTCATGCAACGCATTTCTGCATCAGCACGTCTCTGTGGTACAGCGCGAGTTGCTGCAGAACTCGCGGCTTGGGTTCCACCACCTTAGCCTGAAAGATCGGTGTGAACAGGACCTCGATAGTTTCCTTGCCGGTGGCCGCCACACTGCGGTCCAGGCACCCAATCTCTGCCAGATCTCTTAGAAGATCTGGCAGACCTTTCTTGCTTGACGGCTCGTGCAACCTTGCTTGATAGGACAAACTTTGGACAAACTTAGGAGTACTTTGGAGTTTAAGGTTCCAAATCAGACCTTGCTGGAGGTGCAGCAGGAGAAGCGGAAAAAGCTGGTCTTTGAGCAGGCCTGGATCTGTGACCTGTACGAGTCCTGCTCCGACCTTGGCTTCGTTCATCCTTTCCCATGATCCATGCGACATCACGGGAGACTGCGTTTCAACTCTTGGAACATTAGCGATGTAGGGAATCGTGCTGTGAGTTTGTCTGTCTCAAGCAGCATGCCCTGAAAATCCTGCTCTAGCCCCGCCTGTCCTCATTCTGTGCAGGCAAACCTCGAAAAGGCGCAGAAATCTGCCAGAGCCCCGAGCCAGGGGGGCAACGAATGACAAATTCGAAGTACCTCGTCCTACTTGTAAACGCTTGTGCGCACCCGAATGACCCTGTATGAAGTTATATGTTCGGATGTGGTGGGATTCTTTGGGCGGGTGGGTGTTGGCGGAGAGAATGGCTGGCCTGGACTCTTCACGCTCGGAACTGCTGACGCCGCCTCACCCGCCCGGCCCAAGTCGCAGGCCCAAGCACATCCAGCATCATCCAGCGGTGCACCTCGGAATTTCCAGGTCAATCTGCAGGATACCGAAAGCGACAGAAACTGGACTCGAACCAGGAAGCCAGGATTCTGGAAGGTTCAGCAAAGTCCGGCGATTCAGGAAACTGCTGGTCTAGAAGCTATTTGCGATTCAGGAAACCCGGTTCAGGAAACTGGTTCACGAAGTTAATGAAGCCGCGAAGATCCAGGAAACCATGCGATTCAGGAAGCCCGATTCTGCAAACTGCCCCATTCAAGAAACTGGGGTGTGTGTTGAGGGGGGGAGGGGGGGAGGGGAACGACAACGTTCATGCTGCCGACGCTCATGCCCCTATTTGCCCGTTTCCCGAATCCGCGTTTTCCGGTTTCCAAATTCTGCAGATTCCTGAATCCGCATTTTTTAGATTCTGGTTTCCCGAATCCGTGGCTTTTTGCGAGTCCGCGCGCTCCACTTTGCCGAATCTGCGGTTTCTAGTTTCACGAATCCGCGATTTTGGTTTCCAGAATCCGCGGTTTCCAGTTTCCAAAATCATGTTTTTCCAGTTTCCGAATCACGAACTTCAAGCTTCAGGCTTCCACAGTGAAACTCACCAGCTTCAGACCTCAATCGAAACTCGAGAAGCTCGCGAAGCTCGCAAGCTACAGGCTTCAAGCTGCAAAGTTGAAGCTCGCAAGACACAGACGTCAGGCTTCAACCGAAGCTCGGGAGCCTCAGAGCTTCAGAAACTTCACCCGTGTCGCGAACCAACGTGGTCATACATTCGAAGATTGCATGCAATCATGTAAAGAAAAGTTTTGTTTTTTTGTCATATGCTGCAAAACACGGCTGCAAACATTGGCTATTGTGGCATCTGGCACCCACAGCCGGTCATGCTCCAAATCAGGCGTCATGCGCCTGTGCCAGTGAAGGCAACGCCAGTGAAGGCAACGGGGGGGCGCGTGCTGGCGCAGTTGTCGATGCCTCTTCACGGGCGGCTTTCACGGCCTTTGCACTCTCTGCAGACAGGGATCGCGACCCCCCCTTGCTGTGTGGGGGGACATGTCACGAAAGTTGCAGACCTAGCTGATGGGTGAGGGTGCTTACCTGGTGGGCGAAACGAGTGTCGGCGTATCAGGAAGAATTGCCTGCATCGAGTTTGAAAAAGCTCACGGCGTTCGTTGCAGTACTCAGGTGATCTTCTGTGCGTTCGTTGCATTACTCAGGTGATCTTCTGTGCATTTTCTGTTCTCCGAACAATGCCATTCTGTTTGTCGTTGACGCGGAGGAGAGTGCCGTGATATCTCTATTCCTTTCCGGCGTGGAAACCTTTCGGGTCCGTGAGCTCCAAAGTCGTGCTTCCTTCATGGTGGTGCGAGACGCCAAGAACGCAGCCAAGAGCAGGCGGATCCCAGTGGGGCCCGCGAGTTGGCCCCGCGCGGACTTGGGTTGCAGCCCTGCCAGAGGGGAGGGGAGAAGCGGGGGGTGTGATGAGTAGTAACTGAGTAGTAATAGTAATTGTATTGAGGAGACCAGATCACGGTTCTGCTTGTTCCAGATGCCAGTAGAGACGAGCTCTTGGAACGTTGATAATCAAAACTAAGCATTGAGAATTAGAAGACATTAGGCCATTAGGAGTGTTTTTGGGTTCCACTGCCACTGAAGGCTAGGTTTGGGCTAGGGCCGGGGGTGGCAGAGTCCGCAGGGTCTCGTTAGGGTCTCGCTGGTGTTTCTTGAGAAAAAACTCTTAAGTCAGGAGATTTTTTGGAAGGCCTTGCAGGGGTTCAGCGCATGCGACACATGATCGGCGCCTCAGTCCAGAAATTGTGCAAGCCACTAGGATTTTCCAGGCCACACATTCCGCACTGCACTTTTTTTCCCTATGCGATTACACCGCTCTAGCGAAAGGCTGCACCGCACAAAGACCCACAAAGCCACAAATGACAAAGGCGGATGAGGCGCGGAGACGCGCAGAGGAGCGGGAGGCCTTAGAGCGGCTGCAGGCTGGTCGACTTGGGGCTGTGGCGAGGCATCTGGCACACAGCAAAGAAGATCCAAGCTGGAAAAAACCAGCGGAATCCAGCGCCGAAGGGTCGGTGTTTCATCTTGTGTGCGCCCCAGGCTGAGGAGAAGCGAAGGCAGGAGGAGGCTAGAAGAAGAAAGGAGTTGGCCTGGCAGATTTGAAGATGCAGCAGCGTTTTCCCATGCGGAGTATTGTGACGTAGATTCATCTAGATGTTTCAGGAGCTTCCTTGACACTTTTCACATGCACTGCACCACCTTCCGGCATCTCCCCAAGAATCTCCAACCAGCCGGGTGCCTTCTAAATGTTTACCGAAGCCAGTACCATGTTCAGCCAAAGCCCCTGAAGTGCCGCCAGGGAGGAGAAGAGGAAAGAGGAAGAGAAGCAGGAGGATTCTTGTGTGCTCAGCATAGAAAGGGGACATGCAGGTGCGTTGCCGTTTGTTGTCCGATCGTCTTCTCACATTCAACGCCAGGACACCGCAAGTTCAACTATAGAAACTTTTTTGCCAACAGGATGCGGTTCCTGAAACTCTCAGGAGAAAAGAAAAAGGAAGGAGGAGAAACGCAAGAAGCGCGAGGACAGCTTCCCGGCTTCCAGTGCAACAGGGGTAGACTTCACAGAAACGCAGTCGCTGTTTTGTTGTGTGCAACTTCTGCAGTGCAGGACGATGATGATGCAGCAGCCTCAGAGCCCGAACAATTTTTTGTTGCAGGTCGCAGCTGGCTGCCGAGGAGTTTCCTTGGCTTCTGAAAGACGGTCAAGGTCTTGAGAGTCTTGAGAGCAGTCTTGAGTGGGTGCAAGGCCGCGGCAGGCGCGGAGGCTGACAGGCCCCGATTCTTTCTCGTTGTGGCGTGTGGAAGGAATCTCAATTGCCATTAATGAGAAGTGCCGGCTTTTCGCCTTCTCAATGTCCTGGGATTGCGGCATCGATTGTTGTTGTTGAGGTTGTGGTGTCTATTGAGTCTATTGAGTCTATTGAGTCTATCGCTCATGTGCGCCCTTTTGGTGTGCAACGGTGCATGCTGCCCCACCAGTGCGATCAGGACCACACCACAGGGTGTCATACCGAACCGCGACCAGTTTGATCGCCAGGGCATTCGGAAAGGGCAAGTTGATCGAACTTTTTCGAAACGTTCGCAAGCACACGGTCGCTAGAAGGCTGCACCCAATACATGCACCAAAATTCCAGAGGACAAGCGCGAAAGGACAGGGTGAAGTGTCACGTGCCAATAGTCCGTAGGCCGAATGCCCTCGTGGCTCCAGACCCCTTGGCACCTGCAGACCGGGCCTCCAAGCCCGGTACAACAGCTCGCGCCATCCGGAAAGTCCAGACCTTACACCATCGAAAGTAGCATCTACGAAAGCCGTGCAGAGCTTGTGGTGCTTCTTGACCGCAGAAGAGGCCCTTCTA